TAAACATATCCCTGTTTTTAAATAAACATATCCCTGTTTTTAAATAAACATATCCCTGTTTTTAAATAACCATTTCCCTGTTTTTAAATAAACATATCCCTGTTTTTAAATAAACATATCCCTGTTTTTAAATAAACATATCCCTGTTTTTAAATAAACATATCCCTGTTTTTAAATAACCATTTCCCTGTTTTTTAAATAAACATATCCCTGTTTTTAAATAAACATATCCCTGTTTTTAAATAAACATATCCCTGTTTTTAAATTTTATTAGCTGAAATTTTATGTGATGATATTGGCAATCTGAAGTTACAGCTTTCCCATTAGTTTACTTTGTAACAATAAACATAGAACTATCAATAAACTTAGGCATATCAATAACATATTAATATCAATTATAAAATATCAATATCAATAAACATACCACTATTAATAAACAAATAAATGCAATAAACATATAAATATTAATAAACATATAAATATCAATAAAAATATTTTTAAAAACTTATCAATAAACGAACCAATATCAATAAACATATCACTATCAATAATCATGATATTTCACCGATTTATTTATATCCGTCTAGCCACAAGAACCACAGTTTCGATTATTTTAGCGTCTATATTTAATAACCAATAGAATACAATTATTTGATTGATAGTTCATCCTCGTGCATACTGGACATGCGCAGCAACTATTTTAACAGTTTCACTTCCTACCATTAACTACCATTTAGACATTTACATGTTAATCGAATATTTAGTCAAACGTCCGATTCAGTTGCCCAAGAGCTAAATTTGACGCCAAAATAAATGTGTAACCAGTTGGGGCTCACTCCCCTTCAGGCAGAGGCGTAGCAAGGGTGTTTGGCGTCCGGGGACAAAATTCGCGCCCGGGGACAAGATCCATTGTAAAGTGCCCCTTTTTCTTTTTTTTTTCTAACTCTTAAACCCATTATTTTCATCAATAATATGATATCAAAGCAAATTTTGGCGCCCCTAACTACCCGGCGCCCGGGGACATCTGTCCCCCCTGCCCTCCCCTCGCTACGCCTCTGCCTTCAGGTCCACCCACCTGCCGCTCGTGAATCGCTGCACGTCTACGGCACTTGTATTTTTTAATTATAATTTTTTAATTTAATTTTTAATTGTAAAAATTCTTAATTATGCCATTAATAGTATAATACTGAGGTATCTCCTCCTCTTCCATACTAGCTGGGTTTCTAGGTTTATTAATTAAGGATGTCAAACGTTGAAAAACACATTTGCACAGAGAGTATAACTGGTTGGGTATTTTTTTTTTAATTTGACGTCATCAACCCACTGTTAGTCATTTCTCGTGGATGAGTGCAGCTCTATCAGTCATGTAACGTGGATGAGTGGTGCACTGTCAGTCATGTCACGTGGATGAGTGGAGCACTTTCAGTCATGTCACGTTGATGAGTGAAGCAATGTCATTGAAGTCAAGTGGATGAATGGAGCAATGTCATTGAAGTCAAGTGGATGAGTGGAGCACTGTCAGTCATGTCACGTTTATGAGTGGATCACTGTCAGTCAGGTCACGTGCATGAGTGGATCACTGTCATCATGTCACGTGGATGAGTGGATCACTGTCAGTCAGGTCACGTGGATAAATGAATCACTGTCAGTCAGGTCACGTGGATGAGTGGATCACTGTCAGTCAGGTCACGTGGATGAGTGGCACCCTATCACACTAGGTAACACCAAAACCTTGGACAATCCTATGCCATTTTGTCACATCCAAATTCTGTCACACCTCAACCCATTGAGTCAATCCAACCCCTGGCCCACCTCAACCCATTGGGTCACATCCAGCCCCTGGCCCAACTCAACCCATTGTGTCACATCCAGCCCACGGCCCACCTCAACCCATCGGGTCACATCCAACCCCTGGCCCACCTCAGCCCATTGGGTCACATCAAGCCCATGGCCCACCTCAACCCTTTGGGTCACATCCAGCACATGGCCCACCTCAACCCATTTGGTCACATCCAGCCAATGGCCCACCTAAACCCATTGGGTCACATCCAGTCCATGGCCCACCTCAACCCATTGGGTCACATCCAACCCAAGGCCCACCTCAACCCATTGAGTCACATCCAGCCCATGGCCCACCTCAACCCATTTGGTCACATCCAGCCAATGGCCCACCTCAACCCATTTGGTCACATCCAGCCCACCTATTGGCCTGCCACAACCCATTGGGTCACATCAAGCCCATGGCCCACCTATTAGCCATTTCTTACATTGATTTTCACGCCGGGATTGAGAACACAGCTGTCGTGCTTATAGTGTAACTAAACATTGTGCTAATAGTGTAACTAAACATTGTGCTAATAGTGTAACTAGACATTGTGCTAATAGTGTAACTAGACATTGTGCCAAAAGTGTAACACGACATTGTGCTCATAGTGTAACTAGACATTGTGCCAATAGTGTAACTAAACATTGTGCCAATAGTGTTACTAGACATTGTGCTAATAGTGTAACTAGACATCGTGCCAATAGTGTAACTAGACATTGTGCCAATAGTGTAACTAGACATTGTGCCAATAGTGTAACTTGACATTGTGCTAATAGTGTAACTAGACATTGTGCCAATAGTGTAACTAAACATTGTGCCAATAGTGTAAATAGACATTGTGCTAATAGTGTAACTAGACATTGTGCCAATAGTGTAACTAGACATTTATCTAATAGTGTAACACGACATTGTGCTCATAGTGTAACTAGACATTGTGCCAATAGTGTAACTAAACATTGTGCCAATAGTGTAAATAGACATTGTGCTAATAGTGTAACTAGACATTGTGCCAATAGTGTAACTAGACATTTATCTAATAGTGTAACACGACATTGTGCTCATAGTGTAACTAGACATTGTGCCAATAGTGTAACTAAACATTGTGCCAATAGTGTTACTAGACATTGTGCTAATAGTGTAACTAGACATCGTGCCAATAGTGTAACTAGACATTGTGCCAATAGTGTAACTAGACATTGTGCCAATAGTGTAACTTGACATTGTGCTAATAGTGTAACTAGACATTGTGCCAATAGTGTAACTAAACATTGTGCCAATAGTGTAAATAGACATTGTGCTAATAGTGTAACTAGACATTGTGCCAATAGTGTAACTAGACATTTATCTAATAGTGTAACACGACATTGTGCTCATAGTGTAACTAGACATTGTGCCAATAGTGTAACTAGACATTGTGCTAATAGTGTGACTAGACTTTGTGCTAATAGTGTAACTAGACATTGTGCAATAGTGTAACTAGACATTTATCTAATAGTGTAACTAGACATTTATCTAATAGTGTAACTAGACATTTATCTAATAGTGTAACTAGACATTGTGCTATCATTGTCATCTCACATTTCATCACCGAGGTAAAATTTCAACGCCGAGGTAACATTTCATCAGTGAGGTAACATTTCATCACCGAGGTAACATTTCATCACCGAGGTAACATTTCATCAATGAGGTAACATTTCATCACCGAGGTAACATCTCATCAGTGAGGTAACATTTCATCAGTGAGGTAACATTTCATCATCGAGGTAACATTTCATCAGTGAGGTAACATTTCATCAGTGAGGTAACATTTCATCAGTGAGGTAATATTTCATCATTGAGGTAACATTTCAACACCGAGGTAACATTTCATCAGTGAGGTAAGATTTCATCAGTGAGGTAACATTTCATCAGTGAGGTCATATTTCATGTCCGAGGTAACATTTCATCAGTGAGGTAACATTTCATCAGTGAGGTAACATTGCATCACCGAGGTAACATTTCATCAATGAGGTAACATTTCATCACCGAGGTAACATCTCATCAGTGAGGTAACATTTCATCAGTGAGGTAACATTTCATCATCGAGGTAACATTTCATCAGTGAGGTAACATTTCATCACCGAGGTAACATTTCAACACCGAGGTAACATTTCAACACCGAGGTAACATTTCATCACCGAGGTAACATTTCATCAGTGAGGTAACATTTCATCACCGAGGTAACATTTCAACACCGAGGTAACATTTCAACACCGAGGTAACATTTCAACACCGAGGTAACATTTCATCACCGATAAATGAAAACAAATCGAAAATTTTAGAAAAAAGAAAAACCACACATCCAGCCCCAGGCCCACCACAACCAATTGGGTCACGTCCAACCCCTGGCCCATTACAACCCATTGGGTCACATCCAGCCCCTGGCCCACCACACCCCATGGGGTCACATCCAGCCCATGACCCACCTCAACCCATTGGGTCACATCCAGCCCCTCACCCACCTCAACCCATTGGGTCACATCCAGCCCATTTCAGCCCAGTTTCATTTTAGTATATGAAACAACAACTAGATGGGAAAAAGCCTGTTGCATTTAAGACCAGGGGGGGGGGCAGGAGGGGCCAGGGTAAGTATTGCCCCTTGACTAAGACTTTTGCCCCCGAGAAAAACTCTGAAGTTGCCGAAAATGCAGTCCCCTAAAAAAATATTGTGTAAAAAGTATGACCGGGGCGTCCCCCCCCCCACTCCCTCTCGGCTCAGAGCCATAGTGTGACTATTTGAGAATCCCTTCCACTTTTTGGTTTTATCACCCCCCCTCCCCCCCGCTTTCAAATTGTTAGTTTAATTTTTTTTCCACATCACAACTTTGACGACCATTAAATCTCCGCCCCTGCTTTCGCCCCTACCTCTGTCTCCACCCCTGCCCCACCCTTCCTAAGCCAGCATTTCAGCCATTAGGAAACATCAATAAATACTATTAAACGATATCTGCATTGTTCGCTGGACACGACAAGAAAATGAAACATTTTGATCCAAACAGTCCGCATTCGGTCCACGTGACCCCCTCATTTCTTCTGCATGTAAACACCAGACCTGGTCGCCCTGCCGTTTGTGGCGTGTGACAGCTGACCTGGGTTCCCACCTGTTGGCTTACCACCAGCCTATAATATCATTGTCCCCGTCTCTGCGTGTCATAGACGTATGCCGTGGCCTTTAAGGGTGTACTCGCAGCTTAACGCTCTGTGCTGATTTCTCTTGACGTTGACGTAAACAGAATACATTTTTTCTCATGATGTGTTGGAACTGTGCGATGTGATGGTATGACGTAGGATGTTGTGTTTGACATGCAAGAATACATATTGTAACTTTTGTTTTAATGGCTAGGATATGATTTGGTTGTACTTGTAAGAAGATGGTTTGCTCCAATAGAAAAGAGGTGATTTGGTTTTTTGGAACTGGCAAGAGTTTTCTGTTGCTTGTTTGTTTGTTTGTTGTTGTTGTTTTTTTGGCTTAAAATTATGGCCCATCATGAAAGCATAACTCCTCTAACAAAGGAGAGCCCCCCCCCACATCATCACATCATCATATCATCACATCATCACATCATCATATCATTACATCATCACATCATCATATCATCACATCATCATATCATCATATCATCACATCATCATATCATCACATCATCATATCATCACATCATCACATCATCATATCATAACATCATCATATCATCACATCATCATATCACCATATCATCACATCATCATATCATCATATCATCATATCATCACATCATCATATCATCATATCCTCACATCATCACATCATCATATCATCACATCATCATATCACCATATCATCACATCATCATATCATCATATCATCACATCATCATATCATCATATCCTCACATCCTCACATCATATCATCATATCATCATATCCTCACATCCTCACATCATCATATCATCACATCATCATATCATCATATCCTCACATCCTCACATCATCATATCATGATATCATCATATCCTCACATCCTCACATCATCATATCATCACATCATCATATCCTCACATCATCATATCATCATATCATCATATCCTCACATCATCACATCATCATATCATCACATCATCACATCGTCATATCTTCGTATCATCATTGATAAAAGATATCAAAATCAGTGTGCTCTTAGACCTGACATAAAATGGGCCCCCATCAAAACTTGTGTGCCCTTTAGAGTAAGTGTATCCTGCACGACCTTTAACCTTTAGTTAAACTTCTGTCTCACGCATTATTTTTTTTACTATAATTCTACATAGTATAGCGCGTTCGAAAAGAAATTTAACGAACATTTTAACGTGCGAACTGGAAAAAAAAAGAAGAAAAGATTCGACCGAATGTCCGTTCGATCAAATTTCCGTTCGATCAATTTTATCGTCGACGAAATTTCTTTCGATCACATTTCCGGTAACCGTGATTGAAACCTCCCAATCTTTGTATTGTGTCCAGCGTCGTAACACAGAATTGCGTCTTCAAAAGATAATTGCAAATGTAAACTCAAGGTCACATAGGTCAAGGTCAGGCTACAAGATTTGAAAAATAACCCAAAGATAAGGGAGTTAAATGTTGTTTTTGGTTTTTCGGCAATTTTCTTAACTGATGCCATGTATGATATTTATTGATAAAGAATTTGTTTTAATAGACATTCGTCGACTTGGGTCAGACTTTCTGAAATCCATTGCGATTTATATCATAGAGTTGACATATCATAGAGTTAACATGTCATAGATTTGACATATCATAGAGTTGACATATCAGAGGTGACATATCATAGAGTTGACATATCATAGAGTTAACATGTCATAGATTTGACATATCATAGAGTTGACATATCAGAGGTGACATATCATAGAGTTGACATATCAGAGGTGACATATCATACAGTTGACATATCATAGAGTTGACATATCAGAGGTGACATATCATACAGTTGACATATCATAGAGTTGACATATCAGAGGTGACATATCATACAGTTGACATATCATAGAGTTGACATATCAGAGGTGACATATCATACAGTTGACATATCATAGAGTTGACGTATCATAGAGTTGACGTATCATAGAGTTGACAAATCATAGAGTCGACATATCATAGAGTTGACACATCAGAGTTGACATATCACAGAGTTGACATATCACAGTGTTGACATATCATAGAGTTGACATACCACAGAGTTGACATACCATTGAGTTGACATACCATAGAGTTGACATACCATACAGTTGACATACCATAGAGTTGACATACCATAGAGTTGACATACCATAGAGTTGACATACCATACAGTTGACATACCATACAGTTGACATACCATACAGTTGACATACCATAGAGTTGACATACCATAGAGTTGACATACCATAGAGTTGACATACCATAGAGTTGACATACCATACAGTTGACATACCACACAGTTGACATACCATACAGTTGACATACCATACAGTTGACATACCATACAGTTGACATACCATACAGTTGACATACCATACAGTTGACATACCATACAGTTGACATACCATACAGTTGACATACCATACAGTTGACATACCATACAGTTGACATACCATACAGTTGACATACCATACAGTTGACATACCATACAGTTGACATACCATACAGTTGACATACCATACAGTTGACATACCATACAGTTGACATACGGCCATTATACAATTAGTTGAATTACCCGCAGCGCCACGTCCGAGCAGCAGTCCGGCCTGCCACGCTCTGTGTAGCCTCAGTCCGGCCTGCCACGCTCTGTGTAGCCTCAGTCCGGCCTGCCACGCTCTGTGTAGCCTCAGTCCGGCCTGCCACGCTCTGTGTAGCCTCAGTCCGGCCTGCCACGCTGTGTGTAGCCTAATTCTTGTGTCGGACATTCTCTACATGTTTAATAGCCGTGCTGTATTGTAGATCGGTGCTTAAATGAAGGGGTTTTGTGTGTGTGTATGTGTGTGTGTATTATTTGTGAGTGAGGGGCGCCAAGCAAAAAGACGGCCCCCGCCGGGCGTCACTCAAGCTCCTAGCCACGACACTGTAGACAGAAGTGAAATTGCCCGTCCAAGTAACACACACTGCTACTGATAAATGCCTTGTATAGCCGGTTACGTCAGATGACACACACGCGGACCCAGCTACCTATACGGATTTTTTTCTTTATAAACGTCCGCTTCTTTCACGTAAGGTCAAGGTCTCAGTTTTTTTTTTTTAAGAACACATCTGCTTTAACTTTAACAATAGAACAAAACTAGAACAATCGATATTGACAGCGACCCCCCACTTCCGGTCTCCCCAGATGAACTACCAACACACACACGAGGATGGCTTCGTCTCCACATTCTTCACTTGGTTTAGGGACGTGACAAGTACACACAGTGGTGAGTGAGTTGTCATGTCATTGTCATTGTCTGTAGTTTAGGCCTATACAATGCTATATCACATAAAGTTTTAGACATTGACAGTAGCAAGTTCACATGGGTTTGTTTATAGACAGCAGCAAATTGACACGTATTTGTTTAAAGACAGCAGCAAGTTGACATCCATTTGTTTATAATTAAGATCGATGTAGTCTATATAACGGTTTAGACCTAGGCAGTGCCACGTTATCATGGGTTTGATCCTAAACTAGATAACTAGGTCTATATTGTCTAGAAATACGTCATTGATCATCTGTGGGTGTGTCAAGGGGTGGGTAAGAGAATGGGAGTGTCATGTTTACCCTAAATTTTGCTAAAATCCGTTGGGAGAAAATCCGGTTGCATCTCCAACCCCCCCCCCCACACACACACGCACGGCGTGGAGACGCCCATAGTAAAAATGAGACTGGCCGTTTGGGGGAAAAAAATCAACAACAACATGATGACTGATGTTTTGTTTTGAAAAATCAATAATTGTATTAAGTAGCTAGTGACCTCCAATGTTGGCTGTGGCTGAATGCAGCTGATGGGTGGTTGGAGACTATGTAACAATGCATCTTGTGAGTGGTTAGAGAGTATGTAACAATGCAGCTGGTGGGTGATTAGAGAGTATGTAACAATGCAGCTGGTGAGTGCTTAGAGAGTTTGCAACAAAACAGCTTTGTGTAGCAGTTACACCACGCGAGGGGAAAGTTCATAGGTGAAAATAAATAATTGATGGGTGAGAGGTCACTGGTGATAACAATCAGACGTGCTGCAGGGCACGTGTGTTGGGACTACACACCCCAAGCGTGCTGCGACCGTGTCAACTCATTAGTCCCACTACTGCCTGTTCTTGTGATAATAAATAAATGTTGGCTGGGCTCCTGATAAATTATGTGCATGCTTTCTTCCAATTAACTCTAAATACTTTTTTTGTGTTTTTTAAAAATGTATATTTAAAAGTGACTATAGGTCTAAAGTTAAATGGCAAATCACTTATAATAGAACACATATACATATCCAGATTGTCTGTAGTCTTTGTCTTTGTTGACATTCAAGATTTATCCACCAACCAATTGACTCACTCACCAGTTCCTGATTATAGGCACCATCACTGGTTTCAATACCTTCATTAGATGTTTTCTATTTTACACTCAAACATGTATCTAATTATATGTTCATCATGGTATCTACGCACCCCCCCCCCTTGAGTATCTATACTCCACCACTTATGAGGCATGCAAAATCAATCTACTAATACACTCACCATTGAATCTATTCATACACTCACCATTGAATCTATTCATACACTCACCATTGAATCTATTCATACACTCACCATTGAATCTATTCATACACGCACCATTGAATCTATTCATACACTCACCATTGAATCTATTCATACACTCACCATTGAATATATTCATACACTCACCATTGAATCTATTCATACACGCACCATTGAATCTATTCATAGTCTCACCATTGAATCTATTCATACACTCACCATTGAATCTATTCATACACTCACCATTGAATCTATTCATACACTCACCATTGAATCTATTCATACACTCACCATTGAATCTATTCATACACTCACCATTGAATCTATTCATAAACTCACCATTGAATCTATTCATACACTCACCATTGAATCTATTCATACACTCACCATTGAATCTATTCATACACTCACCATTGAATCTATTCATACACGCACCATTGAATCTATTCATACACGCACCACTGAATCTATTCATACAATCACCATTGAATCTATTCATACACTCACCTTGAATCTATTCATACACTCACCATTGAATCTATTCATACACTCACCATTGAATCTATTCATACACTCACCATTGAATCTATTCATACACTCACCATTGAATCTACTCATACACTCACCATTGAATCTATTTATATACTCACCTTTGAATCTATTTATACTTTCAACATTGAACCTATTCATACACTCACCATTGAATCTATTTGTAAACCCAACCTTTAATCTATTTATACACTAAACATTTAATCTTTTTATGCATTCACTCTTGAATCTATTTATTCACTTACCCGTGAATCTATGTATACACTCAATGAATAAATACACCCAACCAATGTGTCTATAACACATCAATGTATCTACATCTCTTGGTCTGGCTATTGTCACGACCAAATAAACTCATCAAGTATCTACATCTCTAGGTCTGGCTATTGTCACGACCAAATAAACTCATCAATGTATCTACATCTCTAGGTCTGGCTATTGTCACGACCAAATAAACTCATCAATGTATCTACATCTCTAGGTCTGGCTATTGTCACGACCAAATAAACTCATCAATGTATGTACATCTCTAGGTCTGGCTATTGTCACGACCAAATAAACTCATCAATGTATCTACATCTCTAGGTCTGGCTATTGTCACGATCATTGTCTTTATAGCGTCCATCCTGATGGAGGCACTGGCCAGTGCCATGAGACGGCTACACTCACGACCTCTCTTTTGGATACGGTAAGCTGTAAGGTGTAAGACATTCACTGAGGCTACCATTACAATTGTGTCTTAAGTTGAAAGACATTCACTGAGGCTACCACTACAATTGTATCTTTCAGAATACTTTCAAAAGTCACAAAATGAAGGTCTCCGCTAGGTTGACCCAGGCTTTGGGGCATTATCCTGAACTTCTTTTAAAGGTCACCAAATAGCTCACTTGAAATATTGAGCCTTTTACAAAGGTCACCAAATAACTCAGGTGTTGTGTGTGTGTGTGTTTTGGTGGGGGGGGGGGAGCCTCCGTTGATTGCATGACGTCACAAAATAATCGATTACATTTACGATGCAAGTTTTAATGAGAATCGATGTGCACAATATGGGAAATAAGTTGAGACGATACTGATAAATATAGATGAAACCTTGAATCCCTCTTTCTCTCTAATCTCTGACACCATGCTCCATCTCTCCATTGTCCTCCATGTCATGCCTCAACCCTCATCCTCACAACTCCATCTTCCTCCCCTCCATCCCCACACATTCATCCCCACCCCTCCATCTCCACCCCTGCCATTTCCACACTCCATCTTCCCATTCAATTCCCACCTTCCCTCTCCACACTCTATCCCCATCTCTCCATCCCCACACTCTATCCTCATCCCCCCATCTCCACCCCTCTAAGCCACTCCACCATCCCCCCACCCTCACTCCCTCTCAATCTTGTTCCTGGCATGTTTTATGGTCCTATGTTATTTGAAGAGACGAGTCCGATGTGATTCTTGACAATATAGGATACAACTTCAAAGCCAAAGTACACATTTAAAGCCAGTGAGCTACACACACACATTTAAAGCCAGTGAGCCACACACACACATTTAAAGCCAGTGAGCCACACACACACATTTAAAGCCAGTGAGCCCCACACACACACACATTCAAATCCTGTCCACTCCAGAAGCCGGCAAATGACGAGCTCCCTCCACAACGTCCTGGCCACACTGGTCCATGCGGCAGAGATGGCGCTGATGCTCTCCTTGATGGTCGTGTTCATGACCCTGAACCTGTGGCTATGTGTGGCGATCATCGTGGGCTCTGCTCTTGGCTACATGATGTTCAACTGGCGCTCAACCTGGGACAGGTTAGAATCTTGGGTGGATTCAAATGGTTTTTTTTTTTTTTTTGGGGGGGGGGCAGGTGGGGGGTTGTGGGGACATAAACAGGGGGGGTGTATAACGTGTCATCAGGGATTTCTTAGGGTCCATTGAAATGTGACGTCATTAAAACCCACATTTTCTCACCAAGGAAAGTATTTTAAAATAATATTGATAATATAATCATTAAATTATAATATTGCCATTCAATGAATAATATTTTGAGAAATTGTCCTTGAACTTCATGAGGACAGAGTTTTATTGATTCGAACACTTTCTTCCTCGCATCAGTGATCCCTTTACAGAGAAGGCAGAAGTCAACAGTACAAAAAGGTGACTAGTGTCCATCAGGAACGTAGCCATTTTCAACAAACGCCACAAATACACTCCCAACTACAGCTACGTCATGCTGGAACAGACGGACACGAATCGGGAATGACGTCAAGGATGTTTGATATCACCTACCTTCTTTCTTTTTTGTGTGTCGGCATACAGACGCAATGACACCTCCATTTACCTCATACAGACTCAATGACACCTCCATTTACCTCATACAGACGCAATAACACCTCCATTTACCTCACCGGAACTACCACACAGACAGGGAACTACCACACAGACACGGGGCTACCACACAGACAGGGAACTACCACACAGACAGGGAACTACCATACAGACACGGGACTACCACACAGACAGGGAACTACCACACAGACAGGGAGCTACCACACAGACATGGGACTACCACACAGACAGGGCGCTACCACACAGACACAGGACGACCACATAGACATGGAACTATCACACAGACATGGAACTACCACACAGAAACGGAACTACCACACAAACATGGAACTATTACACAGACACGGGATGACCACACAGACATGGAACTACCACACAGACAAAGGACTACCACACAAACATGGAACTACCACACAGACAAGACTACCACACAGACATGGAACTACCACACAAACATGGAACTACAACACAGACACGTGATGACCACACAGACATGGAACTACCACACAGACAAAGGACTACCACACAAACATAGAACTACCACACAGATACGACTACCACACAGACATGGAACTACCACACAAACACGGGACTACCACACAGACATGGAACTACCACACAGACACGCCTTCTACAAATACCAAAGTGTTCACCCATTGGTTTTTTTCTGGTTATGATTTTAAATATGACTCAAGGCTCGAAAATCTGGGGTTGTATCAATCAAAAGTGTGGGATCATAATATGGCTTAAGAGGGAGGCGCCTTATGAATTAAGAGTGTGTGATTGTATGCCATTGTATGACCTCTAGAGTGTGCTTTGTTAGACTTATGAGTGTGCCGTTGTATGACCTCTAGAGTGAGCTTTGGTTTGACTTAAGAGTGTGCCGTTGTATGACCTCTAGAGTGAGCTTTGTTAGATTTAAGAGCATGCCGTTGTATGATCTCTAGAGAGTCCTTTGTTAGACTTAAGAGTGTGCCGTTGTATGACCTCCAGAGTATGCTCACATATGAGAGTGTAAAGTTGTTAACTTCTTCTTAAGGTCAACTGTTATTGTGATTAGAGCATCATTATCAGGCCTCAGTGTTGAGAAATTTTAAAAAATCAACTCAAGAAAATTACTTTAAGAATTTAGGTCTATCACTCCAGTAATGCCTTGTGATGACGTCAACTGGTAGTCGACTCTAACAATCTGTTTCATATTGTGCAATGCATGTTGTATTTCATACACTGCATTGAAATCAAATTATTCAAAGTATAATGTATTGAAAATTGTGTGATGTTAACTATGCATTTATGAATTATGTATACTTGTACATATTTATGTATTAAAAATATGGTGGCTGTATGTGCCGGCATGTACCCAGGGCCAGAGAGTAGTGGATGTTGATTGCATGTAAAATAAAATAAACCTATTGTCCCTGTTATGCAATGTGGTCCGATGTAAAAACTGTTACTTTTCACTTATTTGTGTGGCTCGTGTCCAGTAAATTAAGGGTTACGAACCGATTCGACCGAAGGTTCGATGGCTACACTACGTTTTGTCTAGCGGTTCATTATGTTAACGTCACAAACCATTGGTTATTGCAACACGGTATATCTTTATTAACACAACTAAATTGTCAGCTGCCATTACTCGATCACCACCACTACACCACAACAACACGTCATTTCCCCTTCCCCCAAAATAAGCCACCAAAATACTAAGCATAATAGATAAAACAACACATATAATCTCTAAACAACACACAATCACAATATACATTGACGTCCGTAACATTCAGCTGCCCACAAATATGTATTTAATTTTGTTAAGAACTTAACAATGCCATCAGTAAACACTCCAAGGAGGTTGTGCCCTTCTTTAGATCCAATGACCTACCGTTATAAGGGGAGAGACTGCAATCAGGTTAGTACAAAATAAAATGAGTAAAACAAAAAAGGGTTAAACCTGAAAAAATAAACGCATCAAAACAGCGAACGTGTCGGCAGAAAGCCTTCGTCAGCGAACAAAACAACAGAAAAAAACGGTATAAAAATAAGAAATAGCACTTAGCTGGTAAGTAGTATCAGTGGGCAGCAATAGAAGTGTAGTAGTACTCGAACAAAAATTGTACACAACTGTCTTTGTTTTGTGATTACTTGTAACTTGCCCTATATAAAATGGTGTACTTGCTACGATGCATCGACTTAATACATGTTTATGATACATTGACTTAATACATGTGTATGATACATTGACTTAATACATGTGTATGATACATTGACTTAATACATGTGTATTTGTATACATTCAACATTGTTGTTACCAAATAGACTATTAAAAAAAACACAAACCCAAAACCCACCGCTCTGTACTGTCTTTGCTTTTGTGTGTGTGTGTGTGTGTGTGTTGTTTTTGTTTAATGAATCGTTAAACTTGTCAACAATCGTTGATTACAACTGTTGAAAACAAAAGTCTCAATTACTGGTAATTGTCCACATTGACTATGCTCATAGACTACAATAAAAATTGACCACATTGAAAATGTTCATAGACTACAATAAAAATTGACAACATTGAAAATGCTCATAGACTACAATAAAAATTGACCACATTGAAAATGCTCATAGACTACAATAAAAATTGACCACATTGAAAATGCTCATTGACTACAATAAAATTGACCACATTGAAAATGCTCATTGACTACAATACAATTGACCACATTGAAAATGCTCATTGACTACAATAAAATTGACCACATTGAAAATGCTCATTGACTACAATACAATTGACCACATTGAAAATGCTCATTGACTACAATAAAATTGACCACATTGAAAATGCTCATTGACTACAATAAAATTGACCACATTGAAAATGCTCATTGACTACAATAAAATTGACCACATTGAAAATGCTCATTGACTACAATAAAATTGACCGACCACATTGAAAATGCTCATTGACTACAACAAAATTGACCACATTGAAAATGCTCATTGACTACGACAAAATTGACCACATTGAAAATGCTCATAGACTACAATAAAAATTGACCACATTGAAAATGCTCATAGACTACAATAAAAATTGACCACATTGAAAATGCTCATTGACTACAATAAAATTGACCACATTGAAAATGCTCATTGACTACAATACAATTGACCACATTGAAAATGCTCATTGACTACAATAAAATTGACCACATTGAAAATGCTCATTGACTACAATAAAATTGACCACATTGAAAATGCTCATTGACTACAATAAAATTGACCGACCACATTGAAAATGCTCATTGACTACAACAAAATTGACCACATTGAAAATGCTCATTGACTACAATAAAATTGACCGACCACATTGAAAATGCTCATTGACTACAACAAAATTGACCACATTGAAAATGTTCATAGACTACAATAAAAATTGACAACATTGAAAATGCTCATAGACTACAATAAAAATTGACCACATTGAAAATGCTCATAGACTACAATAAAAATTGACCACATTGAAAATGCTCATAAAATACAATAAAAATTGACCACATTGAAAATGCTCATTGACTACAATAAAATTGACCACATTGAAAATGCTCATTGACTACAATACAATTGACCACATTGAAAATGCTCATTGACTACAATAAAATTGACCGACCACATTGAAAATGCTCATTGACTACAACAAAATTGACCACATTGAAAATGCTCATTGACTACAACAAAATTGACCACATTGAAAATGCTCATTGACTACAACAAAATTGACCACATTGAAAATGCTCATTGACTACAACAAAATTGACCACATTGAAAATGCTCATTGACTACAACAAAATTGACCACGTTGAAAATGCTCATTGACTACGACAAAATTGACCACATTGAAAATGCTCATTGACTACAACAAAATTGACCACATTGAAAATGCTCATTGACTACAACAAAATTGACCACATTGAAAATACTCATTGACTACAATAAAATTGACCACATTGAAAATGACTCTGTTGTGATATTTTAAAGGTGCTCCAAATTAAGGAGAGATAATTTACCCCGTGGGGTGGGGAGGGAGAGAGAGAGAGAGAGAGATAAGTTAAGCCTAAGCATGCGAACGTGTTTTCCTAGGTGCTCGCCCCCTTCCCCACTATGCTAGCTACCCCTGGAGAGACACGATCCCTACTGCCTCGGGCCACTCCACTCCACTCCATATGTCATGATTACTCATTAAAAACTATTAATTGTTACAACTATGTCGCTATATTCCCAAAAATATTAAATTATCGTTCACTTTCACCCGTGACTGAAGCATTTGAACTGCATCAAGTCACGACCTACGAGAACTCTTAGTGGGTCATGATCAAGTCGTCGACTGTCTTTAGGGATCTCCGGGGGGTCTTATTCCGGCACTGAGCAGAAGCCCGGGCAACGAGACGCCGATCTATACAGAAGTCAGAGTGGTGATGGCACTGAGCAGAAGCCCAGGCAACGAGACGCCGATCTATACAGAAGTCAGAGTGGTGATGGCACTGAAAAAAAAAAAAGTTTTATTTCTGCCTCAAAACTTTCTTCAGCATTCGAATCCTAAGAGAACCCGTGTTGCCATGGTAACCGTTATAATGATCCTTATTGCATGCCCTGTTCATCCCGATGCTTGGAAGATGGCCGCCAGTTATCTCGAGGGGACCTTCGATTTTGCAACATATGATTTACTTAATTACATCTTTGCCAAGAACAGAGATCCGTAATGGGTTCACCATGTCGGGCTGTACAGCAGTGAGCGAGGCAGAATGGGAAAGATAAATAACAATCTTTTTAAAAAAAGTCGATTAAGAGTAACTTCCCTTATCCACCGCACGATGGCGCTCGCCCTAATGAGCCAGCCGCAGTCCGCCAGCCCGTTGTGGACACATTCTGTATAAAATCTAATCATTTAGCAATTTGGGTGGGGGCGGCTAAAAATTTGACAAACATGCATGCAAGTCAAACTTTTTATAAGAATCCCAATTAGTCGTCGCGCCACCCCCCCCCCTCCCTATAGGCTCAAAAAACGCACATTTTTTCCCCCGCCCTTGAACTTTATCAATATTCTAACGTTGACCCGCTTCTATACCGCAGGTTTGTTTCACCAACTATTTCAGAAAAACAAAAGAAAATATTGCACACCAAACGCACTTGCGACATAGATATATATATATATATATAAAAAAAAAGAAACAAAAGAATCTCATTGGGCGGCGCAGTTATTGAGAACTTCTGATACCGGTACGCTCGTAGTGTAGCCATTGCAACCAGTGAAATATAATCTTCTTCAATACCAGTCACAGAAACATTGCAAATCCCCTCAACATACATATGAGCCAGAATGATCAATACATTGATCGTGGATCCTTAATATATAATATAGAAGAGGAAGAAGAGCATATACTATAGTCAATATATAGCTAATGTGTGCACAAACACCACCAGCACCCCCGGGTAGATGGGACTCGTTAACCTTGGACGGCAACTCATCTAAGAGAAGGAAACTCTGAAATCAAACCCGGAGATGGAGTCCCGAAAGGCGGATAACATTGATACAATGAAACATTCCGGCAACTCCTGCGACGCCACTGGTGCCAAGCTGTATCATCCAATGATGTTCCCTTGGGTTACCCAGCGGCGTGGAGAGAGGCGATTTGCTGTTGGGAACCAGCTTATAATCCTTAAAGTATAATCCCAGGCCATGTGGATTTCGTCCTCCGAAGCCCACTCCATCGTCACATTGTGACGGACGGATGCCAGCTAATGTGAGACTGGCTGTGGCACACAACATTTCGATTGAAAAACCCATGTACGCCTGATGGCCCTTTTCAGTTCAATTCCAAATTCAAATTCATGATCATAAAAGCATTACGAGATTGCCCTTTTAAGCCCACCCCCACCCCCCCCCCCCACACACACACGGTAAAATCAGTGTAGTTTCGATAATAGTACTTATCCCAGATTTGTTTCACAATTTCCTTTTCTGTGGATTATTTTTTTATTTAAAAAATATTCCAATTCCATTTTTTACATTTTTTTGTGTGTAATGTTGCGCTTCCGGGTCAATTCATTGTTTTGCTTACTGTTGACCTCACACCGTGCGGTAAGATTTAACAAGAGGAAAAGAAATAGAGTTTATAGGGATTTAAAAAAAATAAAAATAAAATTATCATTTGAATACATTAAATTAGTAATAATAATAGTTGGCTTAATAGTTTTTACGACACGCTCGCAGACTTGATCCTACTACTTACACGGCTACGGCCCCTACGACGTTTTTGATTTTGAGCAACTAAACTTACTAAACTTCCTACAAACTTGCTATTGACAATAGTTATTGATTACTCAAATTGAATTGACTTGAATTGGCTACCTATGTCTCTTACTCAAAGTTACCGGTACTCTCTGATCTTATATTCTGTTTTGGAGTCTTTGACTTCTGTCATAGTCTCAGTTAGTGAGCAACTTCGTCTTTAATCTTTATGATATTTATCATAATTTATGTCTACTCTTCTTGACGCTAGTTTGGTCACTCATTTCACTATCTAAATTCTATGTTTTTGCACTCCATTTTTTTCTTAACTACCGCCATCTCAATTGCCATGAAGGCAGACGTGTCATGGCCACAAAGATGGCGACCGGCGACTGTGTTAAAAAAAGAAAAGTAGTGCAAAAACGTGTGCGAAATGGGGAGGGGAAGGGAGAGAATTTCATTAGAATAGTTTTTTAAAAGAGTTTTTTGAAATGATATTTAAAAAAATGTGAATGTGATTAATAATTGGAAGGAGTGGAAAATTAAAACGTTAAAAAATTAATAGCATGAAATTTTATTTAATTTTTGTGTGGAAAATGTACAACTAATTCAACTATCTGTATGTAATCAGACTACTATATGAGTATCACTGACTGCTGCATAAATTTCACTTTTAAGCCTTCCCCCCAAATTGAACATAAATATGAACGTAACAACTTTATTGCATCCCTCTAGATATGCGACTATACTTGACTTAATGTCTAAGACCTGTGGCCATGCTTTTTCCTAGCATAATTTCATGCGCTACATTAATTTAGTGGCAAACATAACAACCTTATTGAATCCCTCTAGATATGCGGCAATAAGAGTCATATAAACAACCTGTGGTTGCTACCTTAAGCATGTATTTGTGTAAATTCACCCCAAATTTATCTAGCAAAAACCAAATTGCGAGTGGATAATGAACAATTTTCCAACTTACTGCAGTCATAGGGCTCTGGAACAGCAGTGAAAGTGAGCACATTTCAATGATTTAACACTATAAAAACACTTTAATGTAATTATACATCACTGTTTCGTGGCCTTTAATTGAAGACGGTAAACAAGTTTGCTTTAAGTAATTATTTTCATTTCTCTATTCATTAGGTTCAACTGACGAAGAAGAAATGTCTGACAAGAAAAAAACAGTTGAGGTGGTAGTTTTTGAAAATCCTCAAAAACGAAAAAAAAAAATTGCTTCAGAACAAGAAAAGGTTTGGATTAGGATCATATGGTAGTCTCGTTTAACTGAAGGGTTGGCACTTTGAATAAATAATTTGGCTTCATTTTTGCAATTTGACAATCAGTCTCTTAAAAGAATTTCCATTACTGGCGTATGCTCTTTTCATTCTTTTTTATACAGAATTAAATCAAGTGTTTCAAATTAATAGATACCGGTAGATGGAATTTCTAATATTGTGTAAAATACTTTGTAAAAAATTATATTATTATCATTAGAGTTCATTACAGGTGAATACTAAGTAGAAGCAGCTTGAGCTATCTTTTTATTTATTATTTAAAGATCTACAATGATATGTCACTGCTCAACAAATATTTCAAAACAGACAGTAAGAAAAAGAAATGCTAAGATAGGGGCGTGTTTTAATTTTCGTAATTCACGATTTAACAAATTAGAAAATGTATGGTTTTTAGAAATACCTTGTTATAATATCAAAAATCAATACTTTGCACTTTACTGTATATATACATCTCAAAAACTCTATGACAGTCGGATAACAAATCAACATCACAGCCTCCTGGATTCAACCAAAAACAGGCCAAGTATGACATAAGGAAACTGGGAATTTATGGAATGGATAAAAAGAACAAGGATAAAGCAATGGTGGATCTTTTAGTGGAACTCGGTGCAAAGGTTGGAGAAGGCCTAAACTTATTTTCTGAAAGCTTTCTTTTTTGTGATATCCATTTGTAATCCCCTACTGATAATTTTTTATTCTACTACTTACTATTCTTGTTAATGTTAACATCCTTATTGCATTTTTTAGTACCACCATGTTCACTGTAATAACTGATGTTATGACCTAATACATTTGTTTATATTTATGCGTTTCATGAATTGAATAATGTTAACACCCTTATTGCACTCAATATATCATCTAATTTTTTTCTGACTATAATTCCTAATTTGTTTATATGTTTCAATGTAGCCGCCAAAGAATCGCTGCTATCACATTACAGAGTACCAGAAAATGATGAAGGTGAAGAAACAGGAGGAAGAGGCAATGGCAGAACTGGAGAGGAAGGCTGGCATAAAGAAAAAACAAGTGAAAGCTAACAGGTAAGCCGGGCGCTGAGACTCAAAAATTTAGTTGACATGTGTAAACATTTCTTTGATCTGTATTTTCTGGTTCTGGTAAAACAATGTAAAAATCCTAGAACAAACTAAGTTGATATGAAAATAATTTTAAAGATTCTAAAGACTTAAAAAAGACTTAAAAACTTAAAAAATTTTTAAGAATTTAAGTTGAGTAACCCATGAAAAAAAGAAGATTCTTTTTTTACAATTGCAATATTTATTCTCAAAGATCACTATATGAACAAATCAATTCAAAGTCTTTTCAATATTATCCCCCATCCGCCCCCCGTAATTTTTTTTGTGTTGCCAATATGTCATAAATATTAATTGAAATTTTTTTATTTTAAAATCAAATTATTAACCATCTCACTTTACCAAAATTCAATAAGGGAAATTCCTTTCAATACAGCTTGCGGTAGTAATTAGACTACAATATGTTAATGGGAAATAAACATTAGGCGCTTAAGCTAAATGCAGGGGTGGTTAATTCGCGACCTGCCACGTTTAATATTGAGGCCCGCCAGATGTATCATATATGAACTATTACTTCATTCAATTAGAGATTAATTTAATTTTTAGGTTATAGGTTAAAAAAAAAATTGAAATAAGTAAATTATAAAATATAAAATTATAAATAATTTTGCTATTTAGTAACTACTAAAATAAAAAGGATTTATGTAAACACAGCTAAGTAAGGGGAACCTAATTTACAGAACCATTTTGATTCAGTTTAGAATGATGCAAAACTATATTCAGTTACAAACAATAGTGCATTCCTGCATTTTGAAATTTATAAAAGAAAATAATGGGAAGGGTCTCAGCCTCCTCCCAATCCCTACCCCTACTTTAGCTCAGGTGACTTCAACAGATGTACTCAGTTTACATTCCTCCACCACATTCCTTGTATATCAAAGTGGCAATTGACAGGCACATTTTCATTTTCAATAATGCACTGCATGTGAACATATAAACATCAGGCATCTACTTTAAGAAGTGACCTTTATTAGTCAATCCATTCCAATAGTTATTGTTTGCGTTACACTGTATATTTATTTATTTTTTACAATATGGTATTTTTAGATTTAGAGTTGGATAAACTACTATTCTGAGACTATGTTGTACGGTACTGTTTTAGGAGTTCCAGTGTAACCAGGTCTGATAACACTGTTTTCATTTTATTTAGGAAAAGAAACAAGGATGATCTGTTACCACATTTAGATGGTCAAGCTGGTTTCTACAAAGATGGAGTTCAGTTTGTGAAAAAGCTTAAAAGATGACCAGTTGGTGGGAATGAATAAACTTAGTTTTTTTTGCTGTCACACATGACTTAAGTACAAGCTGTAAAATGTTATTTAAAAAACATGTACATTTTGTCTTATACATAAATTGGCTTAGCCAAAGCTAATGTGCATTATCTTGTAACTTCATCCAAATTCAATATTGATATCATGAAAATTGTGTACATAAAAATATCTGCATTTATGTAAGGTAGTCCTCTTAAATGTTGCTGCATCTGTCAAAATGTCTTGCAAATACTTTGTTCCACATCCCAGAAACTGGATTCTATTAAAACTGACTCTAAGACAGCCCCTAAAAATTAGTTTATTTTTATTCTAATTATTGGGATCTAAGTTCAGATAATATAAGTGTGGACATTTTGCAGAATAAATAAAAGGATTTTGCCAGATCATAAAAAGTTTGAAAAATAGTTTGATCAACAGGTATGTGGTGAAGGGACATAACTGCTAGAGCCGTAAGAGTTATACTTCCTAACAGATTTTACATTTTGTTTAAGCTTAGAGATATTTTCCATAAAAAAAAATTGATAGAATTCTTCTAGTTATAATTTTTTAATTTTTCCAAAACAAGCCAATGTTTTTAAAGCTTTTAGATTGCAATCTCCTGTAATTCTGCGTTAGAATTAGGATTTAATGTGGATGGAATATTTTATATTATTGTGTACAGGCCTTGGGCTGTGCCATCTGAATTCATGTGTTCCTTTTATTTAATGGATTGTTTGATGGATATTATGTCTAAATATGCAATATTACAGATTGTTTAAATAAAAACTGATGTCAGACTTTGAGTATAGACTATACTTAAAATGAGTATTTGATGGCATTCTGAGAGGATGGTGGGAGAATGTTTGTTAAAATAGTTTTTAATATATTTTAGTATAAATTGATCATTTAAAGGGAATTAATTTTATGCTTATTTCAATTTATCAAAATGTGAAATAAAAAATAGTTAAAAAATATACGTTAAAATGTGAGATTTTATAAAATGTTTTCTTACTGGGTGCCAGTGAAAGTGATCTTACTTAGTAAACATAGAGCCATTAAACAAGTCATTAACAGGTCATCTGTCTTACTGATGCTGTGTTTAAGTCTAGCTTTATCTCATTATCATGTGAAGGGATTATTTGGAACAAGGTTTATGGACTCTTAAAGTATAAAACAGTAACACAGATTTTAAAAATGATGTCATCTTTGCCTGTAAATGGCGGTGACATAGGCTAAGTTCGAGAAATAGCCATGCACCCTGCAAATGCCCTCAGTTTTATTCTATGTTTTATCCCCATGGATTCCTTGACCAGCAGGTGGCCAATCAATCGCCATCATCGTCAGAAGATTTCTCTTAAGAGTCACCTGGTGCTCATGAAAATTTTTTTGGAGTTAAAACTTTAGAAACAAATATTTGATTCATGCTTTTTATTTCATTTGTTTTCAATTAATTCAATTCTTCATTTTAAGTTTAGTCACGTTAAGTTTAGTCACATTAAATTTAGTCATGTTAAGTTTAGTCACGTTAAGTAAAATATCACTGTGTAAAATCAGCAGTTTTGTCCGGTTGCAAGAAGCAAAGTTAAATTAAATAAAGTAAAGTTTGATTATGATGTCAGAAGAAATGCTACATCAATGATAAAATGATTGTAACCAGGAGGCAATGTTCTCATTTACATTAAGCAACTGTGCTCAGGTACAAAATCAATCTCACAAAGTTGATAGGAAGCAAACACAGAAAATATAATCATCTAAGTTAGCTATCCCCAGGCTAAAAATAATTTTTTAACAACTCTACGTGACCTCTGATTATAAGGATGACAAGTTTAATGTAAAAACATTTATTTATCTTGTACTGTATTCAAATAAAGCGCATTCTTATATTAAAATGTATGTTAAAATAGAATAGCAAAGAACAATAACACTCTGAATTTAAAACACAGTACAGACCATGAAACTAAGTCAGTCTACATAAATATTTTTTAAAGCTAAATTTAATTTGTCAATTTGATGAGAATGCTTATTAAGGCTATTTATAGATTTATTTGTGTAGTTCAAACATGTAGCCATTAGTAGCTTGCACATGCAATTTTAAAAATGATTAATGGTCCACTTCTACGGTCACTTAAAAGGACCAGTGGGCTTTAAATTTATAGTTCATTTAACAGTGACCTGGTTGTAAACAATAGCTTAGTTCCGTGGGCCATATTGATGAAATACTCTGTAAAGGGCAAATTAGAAAATTTTAACTCTTAAAACAAGGTGCGGGTAAATATCACTTTGTATAGGTTGAATTATGAAAGAACTGAGTGAGCTGATCATAGAGAAATGTATAGGTTGAATTATGAAAGAACTGAGTGAGCTGATAATAGAGAACTGTAGCAGCAGGTGAGGGAGTAGGAAACAGGTGAGAGTCGCTCACAGCCTTATCATAATCTTCAACCTAACGTCACAGACAAGTTACATGCAATAATTTTGTGAATTCACATCGTGGGACTCTCTTCCACCTCAAATAAAGGTTCCATCGAGACCGATTCTAGTGCTTTGAGATCATTTCCTCTCCGCATGTCACTGGATTCTCTAGGCTCAGGTGAGGGGGGTGGGGGTGCTGGCGAGTCTGTGAGCACTTTCTCATCTTTTACTTTAGACTTCCTGATCATTTCATGGTTTACTTTAGCTTTATTCCTCTGTCCTTCATACCTGACATTTGAAATACAATTTTAAAAGTTATTTTGAATCTAATATTTTGTGGTACAGATAAAACTAACTAATAAAATAAAACTATTTTTTCATCATTTAAGTTTTGAAATGTATTGGCCGTGTATAAGGTTTTTATGCTAAAAAAATCCACCCGTATAATAATTAATTTGGAAGCTCAGTTTGACAGTTTTCTAGAAATAAAAAACATCTAATTAAGTTAATAATATGATTTCTGAACTTTTTTTTCTACTATTTCCTCCCTTAAAAATTAATTATAAAATTATTATGATGATAAATAACATCAGTTTGTAGTAAATATCATTTTTTGATTTTTTTTCTCTCTAATTATATTGGTCTAATTACAATTATTTGTTTTGTTTCCTTTTTTTTTTGGTTTTTTCTCTTCCTGAATTCAATATAGAATGAAAACAACAACTTGAATTCACTCTGCACAAAGTTTGATGAAAAACTAGGGCTGGATGCATTTCATGTTTACATATCCACGTAAATGCATGACAAGTTTCCGATTAACATTTTCATTTGCAGATCGAAGCAGAAAAATCACAGCACTCTAGGGCAGTGCCTTTCTGGAGTAGACAGACAGCCTTCTAAGGCAGTGCCTTTCTGGAGTAGACAGACAGCCTTCTAGGGCAGTGCCTTTCTGGAGTAGACAGACAGCCTTCAAAGGCAGTGCCTTTCTTGAGTAGACAGACAGCCTTCTAAGGCAGTGCCTTTCTGGAGTAGACAGACAGCCTTCTAAAGCAGTGCCTTTCTGGAGTAGACAGAGGCTCAGGCCGCTCAGCATTTTGAGGCTGGTATGTTTGTAAAATAATGCACTCTTAAAAATACATTTGTATTTAATGCTGCACATGAAAAGGGTGAAAACGCACATCTTTTAAAATAGTAATAGCTACATGATTAATTTGATTAAATTCAAACATTTCTCAATTGAACTTTTAAATGATTATTTAAAAAACCCAGAGCATTCTAAATGTTCAGATTTTAAAAGTTTACTTAGAATTATGGCCGGCTTCAGTAATTGGTGGCTTTGTAGCTTCCTCAAAAGATGATTCTGTAACTAGTGGCCACTGGTCAGGTGATGGGCAAGACTCTAAAGAAAGTAAAAAGAAATTGATAATGTTTATGATGCTGATCGCAGTCCAACAACATTATAATAATATTAGTGTTTCATTGACTGAAATTGTATAGTACTAATGATAATAGTGAGCGCAACTTCAAGGTTTACAATTCGTAGTACATAGTACTGGTTTCACCATAGCAAAGATATTTAGCAGTACTCCTACAACAATTGGGATATGCCCTAAATAAAGTTATAACACCCCACCCAAACAACACGCCACCCAACTTATATTGGTCTAAACTTTCTAACATTTACAAATCTACTACCTTCTGCAGTAGCTGAATCTTGATTTTGTACTTGCTCTGTATTCTGACTTCTGTCCCTTAGTTGAGCTAATTTCACATTCTCATATGACTTGTCTACAACAACAAAAAAATAAAATTAAAAAAAATCAATTTGCCTGTTGAGGGATTTCTTGCAAAAAAAAAAAGAAAGTTTCACTGGGTAAACCTTTTTTGAACTAAGACTTAGAGCTACCCAGATGTTCCTTATAACAAAATTAAACAATTTTTGTAGAAAAGTAAACCTGTAGAAAGTTCAAAGCTAACACTAAAAGTTTTCTTTTTGATTCTTCCATTTTTAATGAAGATATTAAAAAGTTAACCCAGGACGAAATAAGTTTTGAACAATTATTTTAATTAATTCATTTGAAGTACTTGTATCTGATCTCAGCGCTCTTTGCACTCAGGTCCCCTCACGGCACATTGGATCATTGAAAGTCACAGAGTTACTGTCTCAATAGTATTACATAGTATTATACAATTAAATGAGGTGACTGATTTATAGACAGAACTCACAGTTCAATTAAAACAAGAACTCAATCATTCAGATCCAGTAGCCGCACATTTTATTTAAATATATTTAAATTGTTCCTCTAAGTCAAAGTTTGTAAATTTTAAGAAAGCAACCAAAAACAAAAGTATATTATACATAAATTATACATACAGTAAAGAGTTGAAGATCCAAAGTAATTGGGACTCAGGGTTTTTGGAAAGGTTGCGTTAAAGTAGTTAGCTGTTACAAGTTTGGTCCTTTTTTTGTTTATGTACCCCATTAGCCTGACCATGTCAGATTAGCACAGCCAAGAAGCACTACGTCTGTAACCGAACAAGGGCACAACCAACCTTCCTTTAAGCGGACATTGACCTACTTTATGGTCAAGCCACGCGAAATGAGTAGGCCTGTAAGACTGGACGCACCGACCCTAGAGGGGTAGACCAAATGAGGAGGATAGGGAGATAGGTGGTCAAACGCGGGTTGCTATTGCTAAGTACTAGATTAGGGCCATTCAATAATTAGCAGAAAGATTAATTCCAGGAACTTAGATGAGTGGTATATTGTGTATATTACTATTACTGTGAGGATTTTAGATATTGTTAGTGTTAGACTTGCATTCATTTCATTATATGTAGATTTCATGTATCTTTGTTCACATTGTAGTCCATGTAATAAATTACATAATATAGTGCACTGATTGTCTTTATTTTAGCCAATAGTGTGTCTAAAATCTACCTGTGTTAGCCCTCCTTTCAAAACCCCTAGACCACAAGCTTGTTCACATTCATTATTCATTGAACACAATGGGTGGTGTAATAGAGCATAGATTAGGATATATCCTTACCTTACACACATATGGTGCTTTATTCTAATAGAAGGGGACTACTTTCAAGACATGTGAAGTAAAAACAATAGCAAGATATGTTCATGCGTGGAACAAGGACAGAAGAATGAAAAGAACTTTTCAGCTAAATTCCTTCTCAGCAGACAATGTAAAGCAAGAAAAAGAAATAAATTCAAATGGAAAAACTTAAGTTTTCCCAAATCAAAATGTAGCATTTTCAGGCTCTAGGTGGAAACAAAAGCTCACTATTGAAACTGAAATTTAAAAAAACTGAAATGTGCCTCTCATATAATTCTATGGTGTGTATAGTGAAGGTAAAAGAATTTAAGTAAAATTAATGTAAAATTAATATTTTAAGGTACCAAAAAATGATAATAGATTTTGAATACCACTAGGGAGAGAGAATATTTAATTTATTCCATATGGTGATATGGTTCCAAAAGTCTGAATCAATTGGTTTTCATTCTTTACTTTTGCTGGTGCATTTGTGCAAGAAATTAGAGCCGATATGGATACATGTGATGTGCCCTTGTGTTTACCTCCATTGAAATGGGATGAGACTGAGGATGGCTTGTGTTGTTCAATATTACAAAGATGTTAACTGAACCTATCAGATAGCCTTCTTCATGTCTCACCCTAAATAGCAGGAGCGGCATCTCCAGCCAACAATCACAAATCTCTCATTGCACCTTGTACACATGGAGCCCTCTTTGACAGCAGAGGTCTCATTAGGGAAACCAATGTGCTCAGTTTCCAGGACATACGGGGCACATCCTAATATCGTTTACATGATGCTGAATAGAATTGTTTTCACTGGAAGGCCAGTAGAACTTACCATCTCTCTCTGTGAGCACCAGGACAGAACTGTCCTCACCCACATAAGCACTTGTTGGTCTGGAAGCCGACGTTTGGTCAACAGCTCCCTGCTGGTCAAACTGGTGCGAGTTAATCGCCAGAATACTTTGGTCTACATTTTCATGGATAATCTTACTGGATGGCTGATCCATCTTGTGGGTCATCACAGGTGGTACAGGGAGATGGATGGACAATGATGCAGATCTTTTGGATTGGCCATCAAGCTTAAAAAGTTAAAATATGTGAATTTAAAAAAAAATTTAGTGTCAAAATAATTTATAACAAGGTTTGTTAGCTCTGTGCAGCACAGCACCTCCCCCCCCCCCCTCGATTTCAAAAGATTTCCAGCAAACCTCTCCCTCCCCCATTAGATATTAGATAAAAGTGATATCCAAACGCGTAACTCAAACAAAAAAAATATTTAAAATTAATCAGATGGGACATGTGTACCTAAACATTGAGCAGATGGGACATGTATACCTAAACATTGAGCAGATGGGACATGTATACCTAAACATTGAGCAGATGGGACATGTATACCTAAACATTGAGCAGATGGGACATGTATACCTAAACATTGAGCAGATGGGACATGTATACCTAAACATTGAGCAGATGGGACATGTATACCTAAACATTGAGCAGATGGGACATGTATACCTAAACATTGAGCAGATGGGACATGTATACCTAAACATTGAGCAGATGGGACATGTATACCTAAACATTGAGCAGATGGGACATGTATACCTAAACATTGAGCAGATGGGACATGTATACCTAAACATTGAGCAGATGGGACATGTATACCTAAACATTGAGCAGATGGGACAAGTATACCTAAACATTGAGCTAGTGAAACTCTAATTTTATGATTTCCTTTTTTTTCCTGCTTTTTTAAAGACATTTTTTGGGGTTCAAAGTTTGTGGGGTTCAAAGTTTGTGGGGTTCAAAGTTTGTGGGGTTCAAAGTTTGTGGGGTTCAAAGTTTGTGGGGTTCAAAGTTTGTGGGGTTATTACTGCATCCCTTGAAATTGCCTCGCCACTCCCCACCCCAGGGGGTGCGAATAAGAGCCCCTGTTTTAAATCTAAATGAACATTGCTATGTATTAGTGTCTGCTTTAAGCAAGTGAAGTCTCTCACAGGATGACAAATAGTACAACAACCACTTCTACCTACATTTTTTCATTGATGTCAAATAACACAATGACAACCAGTTAAAAGATTTATACAGAATATAGACCAGAACCAGGCACATCCTCTTTACTCAAACTCACATCTTTTACAACAGCCTGGCTTTGTTGTGTAAGTATTGGTGACCCATGGGCTCTCCGGGCACTTCCATATTTAGAGTTCTCTCCACTTAACACACTTCTATGACTGGATGGTGCAGAGAATACTGGACCTACAAAATTAATAGAATTGATAACACACTTCTATGACTGGAAGGTGTAGAGAGTTCTAGACCTACAAAATAGAGTGTTTAGAGATTTCTAGACCTACAAAATAGAATGTTTAGAGATTTCTAGATCCACAAAACTGAATATAATTTTTGACACACTTCTATGGTGTAGAGAGTACTGGACCTACAAAATTGCATACATTTTTAAAATGAAGTTAAATTATACAAATTTTAAGGTGTCACAAAGATTAATGATCTAAGAGAAATTGCATTAAACAATTATTTGAAACAACTACATCAAAAATTTAAAAGTACAATAAATAGACCATTAAAATTAAAAGGTTCCAATTCTTTTGTTATTTATTTGATTAAGTCACAAAGAATTAGAATTAGTATACTCAGTCACTAACAGCTGTTTAAAAATCCTATTTGAAACCAACCTATCAAATTTCGGCAAGTTCAAGGGAGACAAATAGTAAGCATAAATTTTATGGTTAATTAAAGAATGTTATAAATAAATTTTGCTTTTAAACTCACCAAGAGAAAAGTCAAAATCTTGCTTTTTGTATGTGAAAGGTTTGGTAGTTTTCAAGCCACTGGGAAGTTCAGGGAGACCAAGAGATATGGAAGGAATTTTGGCTAAAGGTTGCAGGGTAGGTAACTCACCTTCAAGCATGGAAAAAAAAAATGAAATTGTTGTTTTTGTTTTAAATAAATCAATCAAATTTGTAATCATTGCTTAAAAGATGTATCTAGTTTGATAGAAAAAAAAAAAAAATCTGCAACTGCAGAATGCCCACACCATCACTAACACAAAAAGGCCTGATAAATTGGCTTATTCTAAGAGTTAATCACAGATGAATCATTAGGCCCACAACTCTAAAATAAAACCTTTGACTTCCCCATCACAGGGTTAATTTCCCACCAAACCACAGAGTTGATTTCTTACCTATCTGTCGTGTTTCTTGGTGCTTTCTTTTTTCATTCACAATAACACTGTCAGAGGAAGTCAGTTCTCTCACACCATTAATATCCAGCTGAAACACTGGTTTGTTAAGAGATTCAATATTTTCTTGAATTCGTCCTTTTGGATCTTTCAAAAGTTGGACTTTTTTGTTTCGTATCAAGTTGTCAACAGTAAATGCTGTATTTTGTAGTTTATTTGTGACCGAGCCTTCTTTTGATATGGGATGTAGTTTATGTCTGGGTGACATATGGCTTAGACAACAAAAATAAGAATACAAAATGAAGTTGTTTAAAAAATTCTAGCAAAATGAAAAACTTGACAATGGTATGGTTATTTTATACTTGCAAGGACAATTTTAAGCAACTTTCCTTTTTTTTTATTTTCTTGTTCTGTACAGTTTGTTCAGTATTGATATATAATGTTCTGGCAAATGTAACTTAGAGAGAAGAAAACCCTAAGCCCATTGTTGATGCAGGCAGACCAGGAGTAATATACTTTGCTTAAGTTTGAAGTACTAAGCCATCTTGGTACAATCACGGTATTACAGAGAATGTTTGATTACCAAAATTATTTACAACTACCTTTAAATGTTGATTAGATAGCCATGAAAATTGTTCATCAAATATGCGAAGAGTAGACATTAGCTTTAATTTAAAGTTAATTTTACCCAGTCAAAATAAATCATTTACACTTCAAGAAAAAAATTAATAATTCAATTTTGAAAAGTTTTAAAACACTTTTAAAATAAAAAACAGTGATGCTACTATAGTGATGCTGCTACTACAGTGATGCTACTACCTATAAGTTCAAGATTGCAGCTTTACTTCAAATAACGCATGTCAATAAATTAAATGTTAATCAAAGATAGTATAATGACTTTGCAACATAAATTTATGTAACTGAAACGTTAAGCAAAAACAACCTCTAAATGCTGTTCAAAAACATTGATAAGTCTGTAGCAACATAGATTCAGAACGGAACCTTTGGTGGAGTATGCAGGATTAAAATTGAATATCATTGACATAACATTTAAAAAATACAATAACAATAAGACAATTGCTATAAGTTGGTAAAAAAACTGTTTTTGTTAATCCTAGGCATTAGAGTTCATTAAGAATTACATTTCTACCTAAAGAAATTCTTGTTATCTGCCCTTTTTTACCTTTCGTAGAAAGAGGGTGACATCTTTAATCTCTGCATGCTCAGTTGTGAGTTAACCGGCTTTATTTGGGAAGCTGCTTTATTTGATTTGTCTTTCTAATATTAAAAAATTTATATAAATATTTTTTAAAAAGCATATATGAAATTAAGGGATTTTTATAAATATAAAAACTAACTGCTTTCACACGACTTAAAAACCCCAAAATGCAAAAATTGAAGCCAAAGATTAGAAAATGGAATAATTGTGTGAACACGTCTTAAATTTAAAAAGTGTATTTGAATAAAAAAAACCACAAAAGTTAAAAATTAATTAAATAAAATAACTAAAAATATTCAGAACAGATTCAGATGATAGAAAAGGGGTATTTTGCATATGTATTTTGTTAATGAAACTTGTTATTTAGACCAATAAATAAGACCCCTAAAAACCATATAGGCCAACAAATGTAAGATTTAATCATTTTCTCCATTGTTTTAACATGATATAATCATCAAGAAATTAAATCAACTATTCCACACTTCCAATTTACTTTTTGAAACATTAATTATACTTTTAAAGTTTCCATTACCGGTGTATGTACAAAATAAGTATTTTAAAAAGCAGCAGAAATGCAAGGTAGAATAAATCTGTTTTGAAATTGTTGACCTGCACTACCAATTACAGTTTGTTAGAATTCATATCTAAACTTATGGAAAAACAAATTTAAATGCAACTTTACATACTTTTGATGTCTCATCTGTTTTACTTAAGATTACGGGGTGTAAAACAGTTTTCGTTAAGTCTTTAACAATCACAGAACTGGACTCGCTACTGTCTATTGTTATTGAGGATCTGACCAAGGAAAGAACAGTGAAGAATGTAAACATGAAATTATTTTTGTCTTAATTAAGGTTAGAGGTCAAAGATTGACAAACTTAATATAAATGCTTAACTATATTGCATTCATTGTAAGCGGACTGATTACATGTCCCTCCCTACTTTCTGGTGAAAAGCCAACCTCTGTCCCCTTTTAACATCAATTTCCTCAGTTATGAATTTATGTCCTCTAATATATATTAGTTAATGATGTCTTGAAACATTTTCACTACATGCATCAACTCTGTTGTACCCTATGTTCACAGTAGTCTGTCATATATTAGTGCTAAACACATTCACTTCATGCATCAACTCTGTTGTATCCCATGTTCACAGTAGTTTATAATATATTAGTGCTAAACACATTCAATTCATGCATCAAATCTGTGTACCCTATGTTCACAGTAGTCTGTCATATATTAGTGCTAAACACATTCACTTCATGCATCAACTCTGTTGTATCCCATGTTCACAGTAGTTTATAATATATTAGTGCTAAACACATTCACTTCATGCATCAACTCTATCATATCCCATGTTCACAGTAGTCTGTCTTAAATTAGTAATTATTAGTGCTAAACACATTCACTTTATGCATCAACTCTGTTGTACCCTATGTTCACAGTAGTCTGTCATATATTAGTGTTGGTCAATTTTAAATCTGCTGTCTGTATTCTAAGGATAATTTTGCTGATATTTATTTGGCCAACATCTTTCCATTTTCAACATGAAGTCTGTGCCTTAAAATAGAAGTTTATTAATGTCTCTATTGCAAGTGACAATATTTTTTTAATTTTTTTTTTAGAGTATTTATTTACTTATGTCTTTGTTTTTTTCAAAGTTTAATTTTTTGCATATTAATAATTAAACCAGTTGCTCCCAAAGTACATCACCATCAATCCTTTCAATGAGTTTACTTTGTCAGAAGGTAAAGTTTTAGCAGGAAGTCTGATTTATTCCTAAAAATTAAAAATAATGTCTTAAGAAATCTTAAAAATAATCATTATTATTCTTTAATTTATAAGACCATTTGCTAAAAAATGCGTCTCTCTGATTTACTTGGAACAATAAGTAATAAGTAAATATAGCCTCTAAGAAGAGAAGCTAGTGGGGTTTAGGGGGAAATCCTTATCGAATTTAATTTAAAAAAGAAACAAACCAACTCTTCACATTAACTGCAATCAACGCATTTACACCTACAAAAACACTGACACCTACCAAAACACTGACAGCTACCAACACACTGGCAGCTACTAACACTTTTGACTACCCACAAACCGACTGGTACCTACACATTGATGTATCTACCCATTTAATAATGACACTGACATTTAATAACATATCAACAAGCTACTTACACTATGACCTGCACTTTGACAGTTACCCAAAAATATAGTCATTAGAAAGAAATCAAACACAATGAAGTCAAAGCTCACTTGTCTGTTTTCTTCCGTGACTCACTTGACCTAGGCACCCATACATAATGCCTTGGACAAGACTCTTGTCCAAAGTTATGCTGAAAAGCATCTGCGTTAAAAACATCTTGCACTCTGACAAACTGCTTTACAGAAGGGCTTGTCCCAGCTGGTAAATCCTTACAATCCACTCCTGTTGTTCTGTCACCAAGTCTTTGATGATTATGACTGAAAATAGATCACGTTTAGATTGGAGAACTGTTTTAATAATGTTTCAAAAAAATTGTCAGCCGAAATATTTAAGTGTACATATAATTTTAACAACATGTTTTTTTTTTAAGACTGGTACCATTTGACTGACCTTGTCTTTGAATTTTTCAATATTTGTCCTATGCTGTGAGCAGATAGACTCCATATCATATCATCTTTGTTACCAAATGTCTCAAAGGCAGAGTTTGAATTAGAGTTATCCTCTCTGTCCCCATAGTCACTAAGTAAGTTACATATGCTCTGTGTGGGTAAACCTTCAGTGAAAATACTAGGGTTAGAGGCACGGGCTCAAAGGCAAAGTTCATGAATGTTCAAACATATGTATTAATTATCACTGAAGATAAGGTGACATTTCAAGAGACTTGCTGAACTAAATTAAACTAGGGATACTAGTGAAGAAATTTAAATGTGTGATAGGCTCTCTCTAAATTGATGCTGAATTAAAAACTGAATGTACATCATTCATTCTTCCATAATAATACTATAAAAGTTTAAGTAGTGTAATGAATCTCTTTCCTAACAAAATTTTATAGTTTATCTTCTAATTATTATTATTCAATTCAGCTCACATTTACATTGTCAAATGAATTTCAAAATCAAGAGTATCTTTTTATTAGTTACAAAGTTTTTAAAAATCATTTTCTGTTAGCACTAACAAAAAATGCAGTGCACCAAAAGTTTATTCAATATTTTGTTAATAGATACTGTACAAAATTGCAAAATATGTTTGTCAAAATTAATTTGTAAACTGTTCCTCAACATAACACATCTTAAACAATTTTCTTTTTGTACAAAAATGCTCATCAGTAAAATACACTTACTAAATTCGTCATCTGAATCCTCAGAGAATGATTTTGAATGATGTTGTTTTAACGATGAGGTACTTTTTTGACATCCTTTTGAATAGTAGCCCCAACAAGATGGATGCTGACAAAAATTATCACATCTTGTTTTTGGCACTATATAAGCTGATGTGCTTGCAAGAGCCATTAATTATTTTGAGATTTTCATAGAAAAGTTTATTTTTGGTTTCAACTGAAAAAATCTACCTGCAAAATAATGATGATAATACCGTAATTGAAAATTAACTTATTTATTAAAAATTAATACCCAACCAAAAATCTTACTCTTATAATTATTGTAACTGTGTAATGTACAGTAATCCCAGCCTATCTGATGACAATCATCTGTTTGTTTTGGGTATACATAACTAAACTAGTAATAACACACCAGTTAACACAGTCGATATGTTCTAACCATCACAGCTAGCTTATTTTAATTTATGTAATTGATAGTTTACTATTTTGCTGACAAATAGCATCTTGAAGAGTGAGAATGAGATATTATTATAAATACTAAAAATAACCTGTCACAAAATTGAGGTGGCCAAGGCTATAGTTTTCATAGTTGAATGCATTTTATTATATCTAAATGTGCAAATTGTTTGTGTGTCAGAACAGCTTTATTCCAAGGCTTTCCCACTTCGACATTTATTAAATCAATATAGACAATAAGTACAGGGTACCTCTAATTTTGAAATAAAAATTAATAAATAATAATATTTCATGTTTGCAAATACTTCTAGTACTTAAAATGTATTTTTTATGTATAAAAATAAATAAATGTTATTAAAAAAAATTAATTTAAAAACTATCCGATTGGCATGCTTTCTGTAATCAAGGAATATCTAATTAAACACATAGGAACTCTGCATATCATCTTTTCTAAAGTGTCCTAGTCCTAGTTAATCATTACTCATTTTTAAAGAGGCTATACTTTGTCAAATTTATTGTCAATAAATGCCGCGAATATTTATAAAGAGTTACATTTTTTAATACAAATTTCATTTGCGAAGTCCAATAATTTTGTTCAAATAGCTGTCTGTTGTTGTGAAAAGGAATATAAAAAAAGAGTCAATTAATAGCATAATATTATAATATTCTTATTTATCAACTTATTTTCTAATTCTATGAATTTAGTTTAGTATTTGGATTTTGGAATAAAAAAGATGTTTCCATAATTTTGTGCTCAAGGTTACCAAAGGCAATAACTATCAGCAGAAATATGTTCCATCTATTGGATTGACAAAACATGCAAATACGACAAAAGCCAGCTATTTGAACAGACTTTGACAAAAATATGTTTTCTATAGATTTTTAAATTTAGTTAATACGCCATTTGTAAACTATCTTCTTGACAACAGTAGGTTCGGTGTTAAGAGATCAGAATTCAAAATTTCTACATTTTTTATGCGAGTATAATATATTGAAAACAATAATGAGTGCTTTTTAAATATTTATTTTATTTGTTTTTATTTATTTATGTTATAAGTTGTTATGTTTAATTTTAAAATTAAGAAGTATTCAGTCCGCACAACACGGAAGTGGTATTTTAGCAAAGAGAAACGTCAAATTTATCGATTTCTTTTTCTTGATTGGAATTGCTTCCGTTTATAAAATTAGACTTTAATTAATATACAGCTTACTGATTTTTATAGTTACATCCCGAAGATGGATCTCAATTCTTTGAATGCTAAGTTTAAGAAAGTTGCGGGAGGGGCATCAACTGTTTTTAACAGAGCTGTTCAGGTAATTTAATTTCATTAGCTGAACGTTGAAAGTGAAGTATTACTCACTCACTTGTTGACTCACTTGGACTTGACTTACTTAATACTCTGTACTGTACTGTAGTTGCAGTTTGTAGTCGTCTGTTAACTGTAATATACTCTCTACTCTGTTTCTCTCTTTATAACTTTAAGTAAGTTTTTATTTTACAGAACAACAGAGCTGACACAATCAACTACAAACATTCAATGTAACATTATTTTAACATTGACATTGGGTTAATTGCCTAAAATTGCTGCCTAGTGGATTATGAGACTTTCACTTAACTTATTAACTCAGAACTGACTTACAGACAAATACCAATAAACAATAAGTTAATAAGTCAATATCCTACACCTACTACACCTACACCACACACTACCCTGAATGTAAAATGCAAGTTCAATTATTATAAGGCCAAAATTAGCATAATTTGTAGGCATTATCATTGATTAGGCAGGTGTTAGTAATGTTATTTTTTTTGTACAGTTAGACTTCTTAAAAGTCTTAGGCTACCTATAACCAGACTAATAGGGACTTTGGTGAGAGATTAGGGAGACTTCTTCAAAAATTGTATTGGAAATAGGTGTTGGTGCAAATAAATTAGACTCAGAGTTTTCATTTTTTCATGAGAAACTAATTTCATTTATAAAGGAGTCCTTGTGACCCTTGTGTTTTTTGATTGACTTTAATTTTGGAAAATCCTAGGTCGCCTTGTTCCATATAAAGATTCTGTCAAAATATTAAAATATTAAATCTGTCTCTTTCATACTACCTCTGGGGAAGCAATATATTCATATATTGATTAGGCACTCCAATACTTTCGCCCCAGGCGATTGAAAAACACAGCCTGCTGAGCTTTTTTTAACCTAGGATTGTAATGACAACATGAAACTTATTTCTTACTTAGACACTTTAAAAATAAATGGCATTAAATGCAATTATATTTTAAATATTATTTTTTTGTGTTGTTGCTCAGTTCACTGAAGAAAAGCTTGGCACAGCAGAGAAGACAGAGTTAGATGCCCATTTTGAAAACTTGATGCAAAGGTCTGATAAAACTAAATTTTGGACAGAGACATTGTTGAAACAGACAGATGCGTTGCTTCAGCCAAATCCTAGTAAGTCGGTTGAAATTACGAAAGGATATATATATGTATATTTTGGCATAACGTCACTATGCTCTGGATATCCTAGATTGCAATTTAAAAGGCAGCTTTGCCTTAAATTAATTAGAACGTTGTATTGAAGCAGTTGAAAAGTCTATTGCTAGAATGATTATTTTTTTGACTAATAAAAAGCTGTCATCCACTTTCAGTTGTAAATATCTGGAAAATTTAAATGCAGTTTTTGTTTTTGCCGTCAGATCAACGTATGGAAGATTTACTGTATGAGAAACTGGACAAGAAAAAGAAAGATAGAACAACTCAATATGAAGTTCTCGGGCATGCAATGGTTGATGCTGGAAATGAGTTTGGACCAGGGACCTCATACGGTTGGTATTTCAACAGTTTTCTTGCAATGTGTTATGTCGCAAAGGATAAATATAATCTTAATAAGCTGGGGGAAAGGGGCTCAAAGTCCAGCAAGGAAGCCATCAAGGAATCTATTGAGTAAATATCTCAACCATCCTGGGCAGAAGAAAACAGCAAACTTAAAAAAAAATAATTCAGTTCTCTGGCTGACCTAAATAAAAATGACAAATCTGGTCAGTTTATACTGCCAGACAATTTAATCCTTTGACCCTGCGATCCCGCTTTATCGGTCTGCGCCTTAAAAATCCACACCCCGCCAGACCGATATTTCGATCTCCCATACCTTACCATATATCGACAGTCCATTTATAAAATGTGTAGTAAATACTGAGTTCAGGGTTTATCATGTGACTTGCGAAAGGTCACAGTAATGGCCCCGTGCATGAATGCATTGTTTATTTTAATGTTTTAGTGATGTTTTTCATGTATAGAAGTGACGATAATACAAAAATTGCTATTCTAAAGGACTCAAACTAGAGTAGTGCTATGATAATGTAAATAATTCAAAGGATTATTATTGTGTTTTGAAAAAGGATTGAAATAAAGCAAATAGACAATTAAAGGGACGATCGATTGACTTCAATTTCTAGTGCTATCATGTGTGCTTTGGGAATTAAAGAAACAACACATGATCTACCCCTAGTCCAAGCTAAGGCTTTTATGAAAAATCAGGGGTGTATAAATGACCTTTTACTATGCCTTTTTACTACATTTCTAAGACAATTTTGTTTCTGTGATACATTTTATAATGCTTATGGACTACTAACAGACAAATTTAGATTGAAATAAATAACATTTATTTAATTTTATAATCGTTTGATTTTGTTTGCTTGTGTGTCGGTGTGTGGACATTTTCCCCAGGAGCCCAGGGGCATGGGTATCATATAACAGTTTCTCTCTCCTCCAGGGTCACTGCAGCTATAACAGTTTTCTCTCCCCCAGGGTCTCTGCAACTATAACAGCTTCTCTCTCCTTAGCAAGTTGGCGAGAGAAAGAGTTCACTAAATAACTGTTACAAACTGACATAATTTAAATTGTTAAAATAAGCCATTTTGTTGAGGGCAACCTCTTTTTTTTTTTTTTTTTTTTTTTTTTTAAATTGAACTCCATAAATATTAAAATAAACATTTTTTAAAAACCCTTTTGTATGTGACTAAATTAAGAATACAGCATATTATATATTAATATCATGAATGATTGAGAATAGTATTAAAAAGTACATGCTAAAACCAGAATAATTTTTATGTACTGAAATCATTTTTATGAATCTTGTTAATGTTAAAATTATTATTCCAGGTAATGCCCTCGTTAAATGTGGCCAAGCACAAATTCAGATTGGGAATGCTGAGAGAGATTTCGTTACAAGTACAGCCAATAATTTCCTTCAGCCTTTGTCTAACTTCCTTGAAGGGGATATGAAGACTATATTGGTATCAACTTTATTTCCTTTATTAAATTTTGTTTCTTTTTGTGATAGCCATTAACCCATTCACACCCGTACCAGCCAGATCTGGCCATTCAACCCTTTGTTTACACTTTGCTAAATAGAATGCGGAAATCTCGCTTTTTAAACGAAAATCTCGCTACACTCTTTTTAAAATATTTTTATTTATTGGGTGAGGAGTATTCATTATTTTAAAAGCAGATTTTCTATTTTAGTGTGATGATCATTTGTATTCAAACACTTCATCGAAAATTGACTTTTATTAATTTAAAAAAGAAAAGCATTAGGAAATGATGTTGCACAGCACTTATAGCAACCATTTATGAATGCAAATCAATTTATTTCATATAATTATACTGATATAGATTTGTTTTTAATTTTGTTCAAAACCTTTCGACGGTAAGGGTGGAGTTGCTCTTCTTTGGTTGGGGATTCCAGTGATAAAATTTCTGAGCGCCCTGGATTGAACGGGTTAAATAAACATATTAATATCTTAATATTTATTCTCAAAATTTTCCTGACACTGTTTTTTCTAACTGATTTGCTGATACTTTTTTTAAATGCCAAGATGTGTTTGTACCTTTGAATATTTAAATATGTCTACAGCAAATTACTATTTATTTCAGAAAGAGAAAAAGATTCTAGAAACTAAAAGACTTGACCTTGATGCCTGCAAGAGTCGTCTCAGGAAGGCCAAATCACAGAGTTCCCAAAATCAGGTTTGCTAAACAATTTGTTTAAAATTAGCTTTTTGTGTTAAATCATAAAAGTTTACTCAACTTATTGCGGTAATATTAGATTTTGGGCTAGAAGTCATCATTTTTAAAATTTAAAAAACTAAAGAAATATGTAGGAATTTCTACTTAGGACAATCCTCAAAAGATGTCACACATGGGGTTTGGAGGGGGTGTAATGTCGTAACAAATTTGTGACATTATGTAATGAAGGTGTATAATTTGTGTTACACATTTGTTATGATGGTATGGTACAAATTTGCCAAAATAGCCTGACGTCATTTACAGATTGTCCTTTTGACCACTTACTTTTATTGTTCAAGATTTTAATCTGGCTATAATTACTTAAGCTAAGTGACCATTTAGAAAAAATTCTTCAGACATTTCAAATCAATTAAAATGATTATAATGAAAACATTTACATCCATTAATATTCAACTCTGTTTTGCTGCATGCACTTCTCAAGGTTGTACAAATTATCGCTCATTAGTCGCTTCATTAATGCCTTAACCAATTTTACCCAGATTATTGATTTAACCTGATGAAAATGTCGACCGAATTTCCTCTAATGCACTATGACGTTTTAGTCATTGTTTGGCCTAATTTTAGCGGTTAATTATTTAATTACAATTATTGACAACATGACCCTACATATAAATTCCAGTTTATCTGGTACGGTGGTAACGTAAAAGAAAATTAATCTGATTATGTGATGTTGATATGTTGATGTGAACTAACTACCGTAACAGTTTTTACTTATGAATGTCTATTCCATTGAACCTCCCGCACCACCCCCCACCATAATGTTAAACCCCCATGCTCAAACCTCAAGGAGGGGAAGACATGTACTAATACTACTAAGGTTTGTAG